CTCCTAAGCTCAGCCTTAGGCTGCACTGTCATAGGCTGAGGGTGGAAACATGGCTGCAGTGGTGGAGACAGGGGTGAGCGCTCTACCCCTGTGGTGCCCTACACGGGAACTAGACTTCATGACACGAGCACTCCCCTGTCTCCATTCAGACCTCATACTAGGTTCTCAGAGCTTGTGGCTAACCCACGCTTGATGGGACAAGGCACTGTTTTGTTTTGTTTCTCCAAAGTCCTGATATCAAAGAGAACAATTGTGTCTCAGTCTTTTCCAAGTGAAGCCTGAGACCCACAGGCCAGGATAGCCTAGCAAAAGGACCTGCTGGACAAGGAAAATCCAGTTAATCTAATTATTTAGCATCACAATCTAATCTAAGAGTGCTAACATTTCAATAGGTGTGAAAACAAGAAATTTGTACTCACAGCAGTGAGAGGGCCTGGCCTTGGGAGTTGGATGGCCTGGGATTGAGCCGCAACCGTGTCAGCTGGCCGTCAGCTGGCCATCCTCATCCTCACAACAAGCAGCGAAGTGCCCTTGTGAGGTAGCCTTCAGGGTGTGGTCACTGCACAAGGATGTGAAAGCATTTATCTGAGGTTTTGCTATCAATCACTTCAATCCTTAAGAGTTTTATTTCCCCATCTCTCACCTGAAAGAACCAGGTTTGTGCTTTCCTGCCTCTCAGAGCAAAAATAGTCTGTCAGGCCGAAACCGGTTTGACTCAGTGGACTGAAAGGTCCTGGGTTCGATTCCGGTCAAGGACATGTACCTTGGTTGTGGGCACATCCTCTGTAGGGAGTGTGCAGGAGGCAGCTGATCTATGTTTCTCTCATCGATGTTTCTAACTCTCTATCCCTCTCTCTTCCTCTCTGTAAAAAAATCAATAAAATATATATTAAAAAAATAGTCTTAGTCAGAGCATCCCAGGGAAGCAGCACACTCTGTCCCTGAGCTGTGATGTAGCCTGTTGAGATGCAATGTCTGCAAAGTGACCCTACTCACCCTGGGAGGTACTTAGAGGCTGATAGTGGCCCTGGCAACAGGGGTGCAGGAGAGGGGCAGCACCTTTGTCTGCTCAGGGAACACATCCATACAGGCTTGGATCCTGCAGGGAGCAGGCCCTCAGGGGACAATAGCTGCCAACCACCACAACTGAAGCAGGGAACTGAGCAGCACAGGCTGCTGGTTTTGATTCTGTGGAGGATGAGTCTGATTCTCAAGTACAGCCCTGCCAGCATGATGGTGCTAGGCTCGGCCTGTCCTTTGGGTGTCAAGTGTCCAGTGACCTGAAAAACCAGGAGGCCAGGCTCTAAGTATTGGCAGGCCTTCCAGTCAGCTGGTTACATATTGACCTGGCTCACTCCTCCCAGCTCAGCTTGTCCACCTGGAGCACAGTCCTACAGGTGATGTCCAACAACCCTGAAGTCAGCGAGGCAGCCTCGTGGTCCTGGTGATTAGAGGTGCCTCGGTGTCTCTGAGCCCTTTGCTGCATCAGGGATGGAAAATTCCAAATGGGGGGTGAAGAGAAGGAACCTTCTCTAAGACAGGACAGCGGTGCCAGAGCCAAGGGAAGGGGTTTCCAGAGAGGAGGAGGTTGAATGCTACAAAGAGGCTGGTATGATAGGGATGACAGTGAAGTCACAGAATGGCAGGACCAGGAGTTAGGCCACACTACAGTGACCTGAGGAAAAGGAAGGGCCCAGAGAGTGGTGAAAAATGGTGTCCCCAGCATTAGGCATTGAAGAACTACTACCTGCAAGTAACCCGAGTCCTGGTGAGAAGCAGTTCCCTTCCCTGTTTTCTTCCATTCCACCTGGCGCTGTCCGAAACAGACTCCATCTCAAGCAGGAGTGCCCATTCCTCTCTCCTTGCTGCCTAATCTTTCTGATGAGCAGAGAGTAGGCCTCAGGCCCAGAGGCTTCCAAAGGCCACAGCTAAATCTTGATGACACTGTTTTGTTTCCATTGCATCTTTTATGGTTATCTTCTATGTCTGTCTAAGGATATTACTTTTCCCATCGTGAAGTAATAGGCAATTTCCTTCTAAGCTAATTTATTGAAGTAAAAATATGAGTCTATTTAAGGAAGAAAGTTTGAGTAAGTTTGGATATGGCAAAAATTAGTATAGTGCATGGTGGTGCAAAAGGTGACACAAATAAAGGTCCACAAAGCAGTGAGGTTGGCAAAGGCCTGGTGGGGCCGGGTCCTGGAGCTAAGGCCACAGGGCTGGCAGAGGCCCCTTGAAAGCCAGGGCAGAGGCCCCTCAGTGCCCAGCCTGTGAGAGTGGACAGGAGGTTGGCTTCTGCAAATCACCTGATAGATCAGCCTATTTCCACTACTCAATCCATGTCATTTAAAATCTGATTTTTTACCACTATTGGTAGCTATCTTTGGTAACAGAATAATGTTACCAATATGAAGTGAAGTAACACAAACATCAACATTGTGGCCACTTGTCTTGGTCCTCTGATGCCAGAAATGCCTGTCAGGATGGCACCAGCCTGTGACCTATTCTAGGTTTGCTGAGTTTTCTTTCAAAACTCAAGCTGTCTGGGAATGAACCACAGAAGAGAAATGCAGAAAGCTGTTGTTATGTCAAGTATATAAGCATGAGCACCTGGTCCATGTCTCTCCCTGGTGTGGAGAAGGAAAGAGAGGGGATATTATCATTTGGCTGATCAGTCAAGCTGATCAAAGCCACACAGTCATGCCATGAAGACACAACAGAATGAGGTGTAGGTCTGTCTTCTTTTTTCCTTCTTGACCCATACAGAAAATAAAGCATACTGTGGGGGATGCAAATAGTGTGTGCTGTTACCAAGTCATCTGTGTTCAAATTAAGGATGAAAACTCTCATGTGCATGGGGCCTGGTATTGAACATTTTATGATGTTCTGAAGACAAGATGTTTTTCATTCATTTGTTCCCTCTTTTACCCCAGGAGAATACATTCTCTGGCTATGGCTCCCCATCCCCTCTGCAGAATCCCAGTGTCTCCACCAGAGAAGAAAAGCCCATAAAACAACATGTGGCCTGTGAGATTTGCCTCTGATGAAATAGTCTTGAAGGCAAGAATTAACTCACTATATATATATATATATATATATATATATATATATATATATATATTTATAAAAGGCTAAGTGATCATCCAACTGTCCTACCGGCCAGTAGCTATGATATGCACTGACCACCAGGAGCTGCCAAGCTGCAGTCACTTGACAGCTGTGGCTCTCTGGTGACGCACCCTGGAACCAGAGACGGGGAGCCAGATTCCTCATGATTCCTCTCACACTCTGAGACCCTGTGGGGGATGTCAGAAAGCCAGTTTTAGCCCTATACCCACAGGCCAAGCTGAGGGACCCCACCTGCTGGAGGGAACCTACTCATTCTTTTTGAGCTGTGGTGCTGGCCCAGGTGTGGCCTGCCAGGGAGGGACCACGGGATATTGGCTCCAAGGCGTGTGCGGCTCATCTTGCTCAGTCCAACCCAGCCACCACCCGAAACTGCCTGCATTAGAACCTGCACCAGAGGGGCTAATTCATTTCTTTTCAATGTGCATGAATTCATGCACTGGGACACTAGTGTGACCACACTAAAACTGGAATTTAATTAAATCCACATTATGGTTGCTTTTATTCCTTTCTTATTAGCCTTCTCTTTTGTCTGCTTTTTTCTCCTTCCTCCTTCCTTTTAGCTTCAATTTGAGAGAGATTTCTCTCAGCAGTCTTAGAAACATGAACCCAAGATGACGGTATGGCTGCTGCCACATTCCCTGAGTCTGGCCACACAGGACGTACAGGGACCTGGCCCTTCTTATTTTTTAATTTTTATTTTCATGTTGTAAATACTACTACCATGGCTTATTTCAAACTATCAACTTAACATCACTGAACATGGGGTTGCAAAGAGATGAGAAGTTGCAAAACATTATATAGTATTTCCAGTACAGATGCAACAGCCTGGATAATAGTAAAGTGTAGTAAAATAATTAGGAAGTGATGAGTTTTGAGTACTTATTATCTTTTTTTTATTGATTAAAGTATTACATATATGTCCTTATTGCTCCCCCACCCCCGCCCCACTTATGCCCTCACCCCTCTGGTGTCTATTTCCATTGGTTAGGCATACATACATGCTTGAAAGTCCTTTGGTTGATCTCTCCTCTTTATCTCCACCCTTCCCTCTTCTAGAAACACCAATCAGAAAGGATATATGTAATCCTATGTTCATAGTAGCACAATTTACCATAGCTAAGATTTAGAAACAGCCTAAATGTTTATTAGCAGGTGAGTGGATTAAAAAACAGTGGTACATTTACACAATGGAATACTATGCTGCAGTAAAAAAGAAGGAATTCTTACCATTTGCAGCAGCATGGGTGAAACTGGAGAGCAAGATGCTAAGTGAAATAAGCCAGTCAGAGAAAGATAAATATCACATGATCTCACTCATTTATGGAACATAATGAACAACATAAAATGATGAACAAAAACAGATCCAGAGACAGAGAAGCATCTATCAGACTGTCAGACCTGGCCCTTCTTACTCTGTGGAATCGAGAGCTCCAACAGGGCCAGGCTAGGCCTGCACCAAGCCAGCATGAGCCAAAATTTACCAAACTGAACATTTTACACATGTACAGTTTATTGTGCATTAATTATATATTTGTACTTTGATAAATATGTGTAAAAATGGAGAGGGCGAGGAAAGCAGAGGGGAGAGGAGGGAAAGGGGGAGGAGGAGGAAGGAAGAGGAAGAAACTCTGTTCCCTTCAATTGGCTGAGCAGACCGGGAGTGGGGAGACTTAGACAACCAGCCCCTCCCTCCCCAATCTGGCTTGGAATTGCTATGGCACCTTAGATGGACATTAGGTCTGGACTTTAGAATTCGACTGGATTTCATTCCAGTTCATTCATTCACTTATGTATGGGCAAATTACTCTCTCTCTCCCTCCCTCCTTCCTCCCCCTCCACTCTCCTCCCCACCCTGGCATCACCCCTCACAGGTCAGGAGTCAAGCTCTTATTTGCACAGAGCTCAGCCCAGCCCCAACTTTGTTCTTCAATGCTCACTGGCTCTGGAAGGAAAATGTCTGGTAAGATTTTCAGAATTTCCAGACTTTTCAGGAAGTTGGAGTCTGTAAATGAAGATGAAGAATCTCAATATAATGTGGACAATTACAGGAAACCCATCTTCTCTTCGAATTACCCAGCTCTCTAGAGCCCTGTCTAGAGTGACCAGACCCCTCCATCTTCCCACCACATGTGCGTGCCCTTGTTTTACAAATGAGGCAGGTGAAGTTAAAGAGGGTGGCAGTTTCAGTAGGTTGTGTTTGGTGAGGGTGGAGATCAGACATGGGGTGTACCAGCTCTGGATGCAAGAAGCTGGAGGCAGCCTCATGCTACCATACACACATTTTGAGAGCTGAATCCCATAACCCCATAGACAAGACTCCAGGAAGGTTTTGTTTAGAGAAAAAGGAGACTGGATGGAGTTGGCTTCCTGATGTCCTTGCATGGAAAATGGGGATAAGATTCTCTTCAAGCAAAGTCCCTTTGGAAGAGGTAGATTTCAGTGGGCACTTTGGAAATGACTGAAGTCACTGCAATGAAATGCTGCTCCACCCTAGCATCTGTGTTAAGGAGGCTTTCACTCTTCTCTGCAGACTCACAGAGGAGCCAGCCGCATGCCAACCACAGAATGAGACATCCTGTGATAGTCATCCAGCATTCTGGTCCCATTTGAAGTCCAAGTAAGCCAAGATAGCGATTCTGGGAAAGGTGAAGAATGCACTCAGGCACAGCTCAGCTCCATCACCTACCAGCCGTGTGACCCTGGGCAAGTGAATTCACTTGGCTTTCCTCTACTGTAGCCTGAGAACAATCCTGTCTTCCTTTCAAGGTTATTGTTAACAGGGAAAGAGACAATGGCCCAGCAGTCATTAGCACAGTGTCCACCTCCCAGTCAGTGCACGTTGTTGTCAGCCTTTGAAGAATATTAGAATATGCTGCATCCTGTTTAGTGGATTCAGAAACCTCCTCTTCTTTTATGTCCATCACATCAGAAGATAGATATCATTGCATTTTATAACCAGAAATAGGTTATAAAATTAGCCTCAGAGCTCATCTCAAGACCAGTGCTCATCACCAAAAGGTTGTGAGTTCAATTCATGGTCAGGGCACATACCTTTGTTGTAGGTTCAATCCCCAGTTGGGGTGCATGTGGGAAAGGCAACCAATTGATGGCTCGCTCTCTCTCCTTCCCCCCCCCCCCTTTTCCTCTCTTTCTAAAATCAATAAGCGTGTCCTTGGGTGAGGATTATAAACAAATAAATAAATGCATAAATAAATAAATGCATAAATAAATAAATAAATAAATAAATAAATAAATAAAATGCATTTTGCTGTTCCAATGTGTAAATGTGCTGCCATGGCTGGTGACTGTCTATGGAAAGATGCATTTGGAGTAAAAATAGCCTTCCAAGTGGCTCAAAGGATTACAGCAGAGCAGAAGACCAGATTTAGTCATTAGAGGTGGTTTTGCAGGAAAAATCATGGGGACTGCTCCAGTTATTGGTGGGAGTGGAGTTCTTGGAGAGACTCAAGGAAAAGAATTTTTTTAGGCTTTGGTGGGAGGGTGGGGTTTTGTGGAAAGCTTTATTGATGACGTAAAGTTAAGGGGATTCACCTCCGAGGTCTCATATCTGTCTGCGGAAGAAGTCCAATCTTGCTTCAGCAGGCCCAGAATAAAGGCCACTGCCCATAGTTTCGGCTCCATATTAAAGTCCAGCATCCTGCTTGTGGAGGCTGAGTCTGCACGGCCATGGGCAATGCGATTGCTTGAGGCCACGTGGCTATGGAGAGATAACATGCAAGTGTATGAGCAAGTGCAGGCCATGGTTAAGAGAGAGCAAGAGTGAGCAAGCAAGAGAGCAGTAACTCTGTGTCTGGGATTTTAACTTCCCAAGATTTTGCACACTTCTGAAGGGGTCCACCCCCTAGCCAATAATTGTTCCCCAGGCTACACTGGCAGGCAAGCACCTCCCCTGAATCACCTCAACTTCAATGTGCATGCACCCTTCTCCCCCTTTGCTGGACCCCTTCACCCAGTGATCTGCAGGGAATGGACAGGTGGTTCCTTGGGGCACATGAAGCTGTAGCTTCCTGGTGAAGCTGCCCAGATGGCCCTGCTTATAATGTCTGGCCTCCCCTTTGCTCTCCTCCCTTCATTAAAACTAACCAGCTAATCACGAGGATAACACTCCATCCCCCATTAACACTACACTGGCATCCATTGATGAAGCTCACAGAGAAGGGGAGGGGCAGCTTAGTGTTCTGCCAGCAGGAGAACTAGATGCTGAATTTCAGGAGGGGGTGCAGCCTGCTTCAGTCATTACAGCAGGATCCCAAACTCCCAGATCAAAAAGAATGTCAAACACACTCACCATTCCAGTGGGCCCTTAGCTTGCCTCCCGCAGCAGAAGAAAAGTGGTCAGTGGAGTTTGGAGCTGTCCCTCACCCTAAACCCCTTCCTGTCTGCCCAAGCCATTTTGCTACTCCTCTGCCTGAATCGTCAAGGCCTGGCTGTGGTCAGATGCGGCGGTTGAGTTAAATCATGCTCAATAAGAGCTTTGCTGATGGCTTAGAATTTCTAAGATGACCTAATTCCCTGTGTCTGTTTTTCACAACTTTTCTTTCCCCACCCCCTCTTGTTTATAAGAGCAAATTGCTGGACTGAGATCAAGCAGCTTGTGGTGCCAAGAAACCAGAGGCCGCAGAGACTCCAAGTGCAATGGAGAAAGGCTTCCTGGCGCCAGCACCATCCTCTGCAGGCACCCGCCCAGCTAGTACTCAGGGTGCAGTGCAACCACTGCCTGGGGGGCATCGCAGGCTGGCCTGAGCTCTAGCGAGGGCCTCACTGTTATCTCAGGTGAAGGAGAAAGCCTGGGTGCAGGTGGCTGCTGCTGGTGCTCTATAGCATCAGGAGAAAGTATCTGGAATACTGGCCAGAACACTACTTCTTGCCTGTTCTTCACTCTCTCAAGCACCTTCCTATTTTGTTTCCTACCACGGCCCTCTCCTGGAAATGCAGGCCGCTGTGCATTCTTATTCCCTGAGGCCTGATTAGGTATCGGGCCTTGCATTTGCCTCTAATGGGAACTCTAGATGCTCACAGCCTCAAGTGTCCATTCTCACCACCGAGCCTCCAGGGTTCCTGTGAGCGAGGCAGGGCAGCATTGCACCCCCACCCTGGATGGGGAGGGAGGATGACATAACTCTATAAGGGACTTGGCCAAGATCATTGTGTTAACAAGTGGAAAAGCCTCCATAGAAAAAGGCTTTTCTGACTTAAGTCTAAAAGGAAGGTGCATGTAATGAAAACGTTTAAATTTTATTTGTTCTCCTGGTCATACTTTCAGTGGTGGGATTATATGAAAGAACTCTACGGTGATTTCCGTGCCCCCTGCATTCCTTAAAGTGAGGCCCCGTGGGGTCAATTCTAGGTGCTTTGTCCACCATCTCATCGTCCTTGCCATTGCCATCATTCTCCACCTCTTCTCACCCATGGGGACAAATAGGCATAGAACCTTAACTGACCAGCCCAAGTCCATGCAGAGGAGGGTGGGAGTGTTGAATTCAAACCCAGGAACCCAGGTTTCTTGTCTCTACTTTTTTTTTTTTTTTTTAATATATTTTATTGATTTTTTACAGAGAGGAAGGGAGAGAGATAGAGAGCTAGAAACGTCGATGACAGAGAAACATCGACCAGCTGCTTCCTGCACACCCCCCACCGGGGATGTGCCTGCAACCAACGTACATGCCCTTGACCAGAATCGAACCTGGGACCTTTCAGTCCGCAGACCGACGCTCTATCCACTGAGCCAAACTGGTTTCAGCTCTTCTCTCTACTTTTAATCACTTTGCTGTCTTTGCATTTTTCCAGGCAGCCCTCATGTTTCCTCTGGTGTAGGGGAGGGGTACAGAGAGAAGCGCAAAAATGACTATCAGGGATTACCCCACTTACAGCTGAAGCTGGGGTGGAAACCTAAAATTCCCAGACCGATTTTCAGGAAGTCTCATCCAGGTATTTGGAATGATGAGTCAGAGGAAGAAACACAGGAGTAAATCCCCTCAATCTGCCTCTAGAATTGGGCAGGTTGGGTGGGGCCCCAAGGCTGAGTTTCTAACCAGCGTCCAGGGGACTCGGAAGTTTCCAGTGTGAGGGCCTCGCTAGGAGCAGCCTGCCCATGACCACAGGTCTCCAGACTGGATTCCTGGGGTTTCCTGAAGATGCCGCAGGAGCCTGCCTGGAGGTGAGAGGGAGGGGTTTTGAGTAAGATTTCCCTTGAGAAAAAGGGGTTTTCATGCTTTGAAAAACGTTTGGAAACCACAGTTCTAAAATATAATATCCAGTACATTTGCTAAAATGTGTGGCAAGAAATTTCTGTCCCAAAGATCATTTTTTTATGTACTTTGCTGACTCAAGGGAATCAGCAGCCATATTTGGATAGCTGGCCTCACAATGACCTCCCTGCAACCTAATGGAAAATGTTGAAGGTATTCTACTTAGAAATAATTATATTTACATAGCCTCTGTGTTCTCTCTCTCTCTCTCTCTCTCTCTCTCTCTCTCTCTCTCTCTCTCAGATGCTTATAGGCAAAAAGAATACTTGCTTCTGGAATTCATCATCTCCAGCTGTTTACTTCCATTTGAGGCCAGATTTCCCCCCTGTGGTTATGTTTCCTATGGGAGAGAGTGGGAAGGAAAGCTTCTAACATGCAATTATCAGAAATTGTTACCATCTCTGAAAAATCAGTCTATCTGCCCTAAAGTTTGAGAACTCACCATCAGACCAGAGGAAAAGAGAGCTTAGGGTATGGAGCTGGAAAAGCATTAATATAATCCAGTGCTTTCTACCATCTCCAATTGTGTTGCTTAAGGAAAAAAAAATTGTGATAACGTATGGTGGGGAAATGCAAGGCCAAACAAATTTCTCTGCTTTAGGATTACTTAGACTCCTTTATAAGCTAACATGATTATAAAGCTCTGCAGTGTTGCCCAATTTCCTTGTTCACAGAGCCCATTTTTCTAGAACATCCCAAG